TATGTATATGTATATATAGGGTATATATAGCATATATATATCCTGGCTTTTCAGACCACTAAGAATTTCTGATTCCTATGATGTAATATTTAAACCCATGCTCTACACTTAGAAAGAGTAACATGGAGGAGGTATTGAAAGGAGTACAGAGGACAGTGAGAATAAACTATGCAGGTGCTTCCAGATGTCCTTCCAGAGGTCTGACATTGAAGACACAGCCTTCTTACATCTGTGACTACACAATTAGCTGTTGCCCCTGCTTCTGGGCATGCACTTCTTGAAAGCAGATTTCGTCATATGCAGTGTTGTCAAATATGTGTACAAAGAGTAATGTTTTTACTGTACCTCTTTCGGAGCATCCTTCTGTATGAATGTTTCATAAATGGTCTTAGCTTTTTGCAAAATTTCATGTGTAGTTTTGCTTTTCTTGTAATCCTCGCATGCTATCCAGAACTCAATGTTCTCTTCACTGAACTCAGTTTTCAGAAACTTCATAAAGGCATCCAATCCAGCTACAGAAGTGAATGTTGAATTGCATTTTAAAAAAATACCCTTAACATACAGTTACTCCTTTCACATAGTCTGTGCAAGGTAACAAAATAAGTTATGGTCCCTGTGAATTACATCACATTATAATTACTTTAATGTACATAAATGTTTTCAAATAAGTGCCATTCTTTTATGATGATCCTGAGGGGTGTAAAACTCCCATTACAGAATTCTCAGCATCTGTAAAAATCCACTACCAATATCTCATGAATTTACAAATAGAGGCAACAAAAACATATGGATGTATATGGAAGTGACAGACTTTGTTCCAGCTGAGTATAAATTTAGGTTGAGTGAAACACTATTTGAATCTTTACTCATAAGTACACTGTTCTCCAGTAACAATTTAAAATGAATGGCTTTTAGTGTGTTTACAATTTGCTTTATGCTATTGCTATTACACTGAAGAAACTTTATTTCACAAAAATGCTTAATCTGTGGAAGTAATGACATCAATCCTTGAACGATCAATCAAAAAGCAATCGTATTGATGTCAGCTGTTCAAGGAACAGATCTCAAAACACACAGTGTCCAGCATTGCAGCTGGATCATACGTGTGTCCCCAAATGGAAGGCAGGATGTATGTGCATTTGATAATGCAAACAAAACAACAGGCCCTTCCAAATGACGGCCAGTTTTGAACCTATCACTCTTTTAGAAACAAACTGTATCAGAAGTGACAAAGTCTTCTCTTAAGCATGTAGAACTTGCTTTCATTTTTAAGGTTTGGTCTTGCAGTCAGGAGTATTTGAGCAATATTCAAATGAAATTCTACTCTTGATTGAATGAACTTTTTGCTGTCTGTTATATTACTTTGTTCAATTAAATATGAAACCTAAAAATTATTTTCAACTCTTTTCAGTAGTTGACAGCATGCTAAGCACATGAGGAGAGCAGAAGCACACACTACTGTAAATGACCCATCATGCCTAGTTTAGGTAACTGCTAGGTCTGCTTAAGGGCACAATTGGATTTTATAATTTTCTATCAATTTTCCATCCTAACATTCTGCAAGGAGAGTAAAAAGCTACTAACCTTTCTCAGAAAGCAGTTTGTCAAAAGATTCTCCCCATTTCACTGCCTCTTCAGGAGACACACTGCTTAAGAAACAGAAAACAGTTGTGAAGAATTGTGCAAATTGTGCATTTGAAGTATTGTAACATATGTTCTCTGTTACCATTATTGCTTGAGACTGTTTCACAAAGCCTTTGGTCAGATCACATTACTAAAGGAGCTCATTCTCTTAGGGACTTCAGGGACATTTGGTCTAATTTTTTTCTGATATTTTTCCTGCAGAGTTGTACCTTTTCCCCTGTTTCAAAAAACATCAGAGCAGAGATTTTTCTTTTCAGTGTTTGTGTTGTGCTACTAATCTTTAAGGGAATTGAGATTATGCAGTATGGTAAAACTCATAAGAGAAACAGGACAGTCACCTATTTAAACTTTAAAAAAATGGTCTTGCAGAGAAGTGGTTTTGAATGCATTTGGTCTGAGGCTGTTACCACAATCTATTTTTAATGAAATACAGGAAATTCTATAGCCTGAAGACAAAGTGGCAGCAATATGGTTTAGGTGATAGTCTTATAGGGTAACAGCACAAGTAGCCTGGTTTGTTTACCATAAACATGTTTCAAATGTCATGTTATTCTGAGACACTGTGTTCTGTTTATAAAATTCCACGTATTCTTCATCAAATATGTCAAGTTGCACGTATTTTACCTTGATTTCAAACATTCTGCCTTAGAGAACAATGCAGAAAGGACTAAAGAATGCCCTAGTTCATTGACTCAAACAGAATTTTTGGGAAACCCTTTTTTGGTGGAATATAGGTTAACCCTGAACACACATCTGGAAAGTACTTTGATTCTTGTAGACCAAAACTGGAACAAGCCTGGAGATGAACTGTATCACACTAGGACTAGAACTTAAGTTCTAAACATGAGGGTGAAGTCAATTTTTATCAGGTACTTTATAAACATTAATATTTAGAACCATTTTAATTCAAGGGCAAAGCACAGCACAGTGAAAATATCAATAAGCAACTTTCCAGGATTATTTGGTTAAAACCACTTCTTATGGACTGAACAGTTCTTGAAAACGATTCCCCCTTCTTTGGGAAGGTTTGCTGTTCTGTTGGCTGATTCACAGTTTGGGTTCCCTCGGCAAAATCTGCAGGCACCTGAAGTTTAGATAAAGGCAAATTCCAATCACTTTGAGACGGAATTTAAGCCAGTAATGATCTTGGTTTTGCACAAAACTCAACGGACAATCTTTAAATTTTTTAAGTAAATGTAATATCTCTCCTAGCTGAAATAATTGCTCATAGGGATTACATTTTTACCTAGGAAGAGACAAACAGTTCTTGAGAGATACAACAGCTAGAGAACTGCAATCTAAGAAATGAACATAGGCCAGTAGAGTAGGGGGATTCTGGAGTCAGGGAAAATGAAACCTCACTCCCTTACAGAGTTTTTTAATGATGAGAAGTACAAAAAGTGCAGTTCTCTGAACTGTGTGGACTTGTATTTCTGGGAACAGTGGGTCCTATAGCTACAGAAACTAACTTGGTCACAGTAGAAGATAAACCCTGATGGTTCAGACAACATACACAGTCCACAACTGCCCAGAATGCTGGACAGGTTCTTTGCTGGGTTTGGACACTCTTTAGTGTGAATTTCTGATTTTCCTTCAGAAACAACAGCTGGGTGCAGCACTGAGTTTCTGCAATAATAGACAGAAACTAGATTTGTTCAGCTTTACCACTTTCAAGAGATGAAACTAGTTAACATGTCACAGGCATTTCCACTATCACCATGCTGTCCATCTGCTGTGTTTCATTAAGTTCTCTTTCTACTTACGTCAGTATCTCTGTGTGGAGATGGGAAAGCTTAAAAACTAAGTAAATCACTTAAATCATCACTCTCAAATTATTATCTCACAATTATTTCTAGGAGTAATTTTCTTTTTTTTTAAAATTTTTGCCAAACATGATCTACACCTCTTTCTAATCTATATATAGAGAAAGGTCAGCAAAAATCTACCAGTTTCTCTTCTGTACAACAAGAACAGCAGAATCCCTGTTAGTCAGGCACCCGGCTGAGAGTAACATGGAAAAAGGCAGTTGGCTGACTGCAGAAGTGATAGTCTGTGGTAGGGGGAAATTCTTTAGAGAATTATTTGTTGCTATTGTATCTGCCCCTGAAAGTGCCTTTTCACAGGTGATAAGATTGCACTGATGTCTGTGTACTTTGTATGAAATACCCAGGGATAATCAGCCACTCAATACTGCATGCAGGTGGCATGGAGGCTGTGCTTTCTCTTTTTAGATGCAATCTTAGCATGGTTTTACATGTCTGGAACTGAGGCAAGGCACCTCTTTTACCTTTGTTCATCATTGCAATGTCTTGTATTTCTGAGTGAACTGTAAAACCATTGAATTAAGGTTTCTGCCAGCAGCAAAACAAGAAAGTAAGAGAGGGGAAAAAAAAAAGTAATGAAACCTGCCATGAGTGTGGAGTGGAAAGCCTTCCAGATCAGGAGTACACCCTGTCATTTGGATGGGCACAATATTTGGACATGTGAGCAAGGAACATTGCCTAATCATCCAGATGCATAGGGACAAGTGTTGAGATACCCACTTCTGGGCCACTTTTCATAGGTTCTAGAAACAGAGTTTGGGACTTTACACAATTTCTACCAACACAAATAGTGAGGACTTGTAGAAGCAGTGCTGGTCAAAGCAGGCATCTTGGCCTCAAAGATAGTAACTGCTTAAACAAAGTTCATGAAGCTTAACAAGAAAAAAGAGCACAGGGAAGCACTGAAGTGTACTGAAATGATCTGTGATGGAAAGAAAGGGGGAGCAAATTTTTTAGGCCTGCTTTTTTCAGTCAAGACCTCCAAATGCAATTCTTAACATATCAGTGAGATCTTGGTAGCCCACTGAAGTCCAGAACAAAACTCTTGCCAAATTCAACAAAATCAAGATTTCACCCTGCATCTTTATGGGAAATAGCACAACACGGACAATATTATAACTTTCTAAACATCAGTATCTGAATTTTGGAGACCTGAGTGTTTGACTACTGCAATTACTGAGGAAATATGCACTTGACATGCATCTGTCATTTGTACATCACAGAATTCTTTGGAAAACCTGCTTTCCAAGGAGCTGTATGATTTTCCTGTAAACAGTAATTTGTCAACTATGTTTCTGAGTTGATGCTTGCTCAGTATAGTCAGTGGGGTAATAAAAATGCTATTGGCATGAGTAAAGTTTTAAATGTACCTGCAAGTGTAAGGGGATCAGTCTACACTTGGTGTGAAAACACTAATGGTGAGTTACCTTGATGCATACCAGATAAGCCTATAGCGTTTGTATGCTTGGGTTAGGTTGCAAGTTTTTAAATTAATCTTGAAAGCATTACTCTCTGTCAAGTCTGAATGCACACACACAAATGCAGGAAACATTCTGAGTCACACAGGCACTTCATGAAAGGAATCCCCACCAACTCAGTCTTTTAAAATGCTTACCTTGCTATCTTTGTCAAGTTTCCAGGTTTAGCAAGATGGTCACCTTCATGAAATTCAGATTTCTGCAGCAGAAGGCTCAGCCTGTTTCTCTTCTGCTTTGCTCTACAACAGAATTAGGGTAGCTTTTCAAGCAACCTTGCTGAAAGTTTTTTTGAGGAGGTTTTTTGTTTGTTTTTGTTTGTTTGTTTTCACCCTCTAACATTTCCTTTGACTGATATCTCTGCTTCTGCATCGTAGGTTACCCTATGTTCACTTACAGTAACACTGAAGTTACTTATCCTACATATATTGTTCACATTAATGGTTTTGTTCTTTATACATTAGCACAAATTTACATATAAAGCACTGGCAAAGAGAAATGAAAATCTTTTTATCTTCAGAATCTTTTTCATTTCATTTAAAAATGGGGGGGGAGTGAAATTTCACATTAGAGAACAGAAACAGTTGGCTCAGCATCTTCCACTTTTAATGTTGCACAAAGAAAAGGAAGTATTGCTTCCTGTCATTTGAAATTTTTAAAACGAAACTTTCCCGGATCATATTCAGGATTTAAAGAAGCGTTTCTCAGAACTTCTTGAAACCTCCTGTTCCTATTTTCTTAGTTTATGATTTGTCTCGTGTTCTTAAAAAATATTTCTCTGATTAATTACTATTATATTTATACCGTTCCTAACATTGCAGTTCATGAGTTTTCTTGTGTATCAGTCAAAACCAAAACCATGATCTATGCCCTAAATTCATACCCACAAGCTACATTAGAAGATTCCTCTATGTAAGCAGAACACTCAGAATATCTTAAAACTTACCCAGGCTTGCTTGCTTTATGTGGCTCTTCTTTAATTGCTGATTTCATGACTTTGTAATAGGATTTCTCCTTTGAAGCAGAAATGTTTAGTTGGGGGAATAAAAGAAGTGGGTTCTCCATCTTCCTCTGAAAAAGCTTCCCAGTTTCAGAAAATGTGTCCTTTACTTCCTTACAGTGGTCGCATCTGGCATAAGTGCTGTGCTCAGGAGGGCTCTCACATGCTGTATGGGGCTGGGCTGCCCGCCGCTGCTCTGCTGAGCAGGTTGTGTCCAGAGCAGGTAGTGGGGAGAAGGAGGTCCTCAACCTCCACTGCCACTGCAACTGCAGGTACGTGGGACTTTAAGTAGAGTTCTGGTTTTACAGTCGTCATTTAGGGAAGTGAGACTGCAACTTTGCAAAATGGCCGTTGATATCCAGACACAAACACAGAGTTATCAGCAGACAGCAACTCCTGGGTGTCTGCTTGTGGAAATTGGTATTTCACTAGACCTAGGACGACGCCATCATTTACTCTCAAACACCTGGGAAAAGTGTACATAGTTTCTCTAAAATAAACTTTAATGAGAATAATTTTGCATAAAATAACATGCAATGTTGCCTTACGCTCTTAGAGGAACTTCTAACTGACCTTAAACTGCCCTCTACAGCCTTCAGTGCCACATGCTGGACACAACATCATTTCTGTCTACAATATGCCAACTTGAAACTCAGGGTTTCTCTGTCTCCTGCCAGGGCTAGATGAAGCTGTGATTGATCAGATATTTTTAAGTGAACATTTTATTTTTTGTGCCATATTTCAGAAATGATGAGTACCTACTTCCAAATTCAAGTTTGTCCACTTACAGCTCCTCCTTTATCTTTGATATCTGTGGCTTTCTTTTCATTTACAATCTCCCAGCCAGCATAAAAAGGTCTTTACTTCAGCACAAAAAATAGTGATTTTTAAAATTTTCTTTTTCCAGTAAATTACCCCAAATTTCTCATTTCAGTTTGTATAATGTAAAAAGGCATTATTTTTTTAGGTTTATCAGCACAGATTACCTCTTCACATACAAGCTGGATTTCAATTAAGTTTCTTATTCTTAAGTACAATTTGTGTTGGAGATGTCATAGGAACAGTACGTCTACCAAAGAAAGCTCTTCAGTGTTAGTTGAACGAGGGGCTGGAAAAGATTAACATTATGCAGTAGTTAATTGATTAAGAATTAAATAGTTCTCCTTTTTTAATGCCAGTGCCTTGTTTTGATTATTCAAGTAAGACACCAAGTCTTGGGGAGAAGACATAACCTCATCACCTTCCCACAGTTTTGTCCAGTTCTAAGTCATTACTGCAACAAGGGTAAGTTCTGGCAAGAGTCCCACCGTGGCCTCTTCCTTGTGGCTTGCAGAGCTGAGGAGGACAGGAAGTACTAATATTCAAAAGAATTTAAAAAACAAATGCAAAACAACCCTCTGCTGGGACTCCAAATTTTTGAAACATAAAAAAAAGTCCACTATTATGATTTTTTTTTGAGAGAAAAAGAATGAGAGAACTCATGTGTATTACATGTATGATACAGATCTTAGAATCAGAGTGAATGGGAAATATTCAGTGCAAAACTGCCTTTTGTGACCAAAGGACCTTTAAGAAGCAGGGCTATGGTTTTAAACTGCATTTTCATTTTCAGAATAGGCTTATATATATCACATCCTGCTTATTATAAACTGGGTTTAACCACAGCTGTCTTTAATAATATATTCTATCTTTTACTATTAAGTAAATAAATATAGAATGCATTATTTTATTTCACTTTTCAGCAACGGTGGTAGTCATGTGAGCCTTTTTTTTCCCACCTATTTTGAGTATATAATACTGTCTGTGTTCACCTGCCATAATTTTATTACCTGGTGATTTCAGTTCCTGAGAAATGTTAATTCTAGCTTCAGTAGTTCATATAAGCTGATTTAAGAAAGATTTGTAGCATGGAGAGTCACTCAGAAGTGAATTACGGTGGCCTTGCCACTACACCATGTAACTTACAGATGGAAATGACTCATTCTGTCCTATCTTTCAGCACCCACCAACAATGGGCTCTCCCCAGCGTACGTCTGAATGGCTTGTCCAATCCACTCCTAAAAGCAATGGGTGTTATGTCTTAGATGCTTGCATTCAGTCCCAAACACAGCAATGTGCTGTGCATCTCCTGAGAATTCATTTGGAAACATTTTTTTGGCAGGGGAAGGAAGGGAATAGTTATAAATAATATCTTTTTTTCCTTCCCCCCCCCCCCCCCACCCCCAATAGAAAGCTAATATTAAATTCAGGCCCTGAAGTAGCCAAAGTGCATCAAAGTCAGTCTGTGTTTTGTCAGTGATGGTGCCGGTGCTAATAAGTATTTCTGTTTTGCACTGCAGGACACAGTAGTTATAGCAACGGCATTAATAACGCTGTAAATGCTTCTGGGCCATTTTTATACTGCAAGATGACGATACAGAAAAATGAATAAGTTATTTTAAGCCAGAAAAAGCAGACCCAGAATATTGTTGATGACATGATTAGAGACCTAGAAAGCTCTAAAGACATTTGTGATGAGAACCAAATATCCTGATTCCCAACCATTTCTCTAACCACTGAAGTCTTTTGGGAAGCCCTCAACTCAAGATCATCTCAGCGAAGTGAGAGCAATATTGACTTCATGTTTTATTACTTGTAAAAAAAACAGAAATACATTTAAGAGCTTACATAGTTAGATGAATAGAATACGTATTTTCAAAACCATCTTTATGTGACATAAAAAGCAAAATTTAATAGATCATAGAACGCAGGAAGTTCCTTGAGGTGTAGTCCTGATCTCTTTGGGCCTGTTCCTCAGTTGAAAAGTGTCTGCAATGGCTTCTGTTATTGTTTGATAAGGTCCTATCACAGCTGATGGTGAAGTCATGCTTGACTTGTGTAGACCTCATAGCTGCCCTCTGTGGAAAAAAACCTGACACGATTAGCAATAATCATAGAATCATAGTGTGACCTGGTCTAGGTGATCCTGCTCTGGCAGGGGGGTTGGACTGGATGAGCTTTCAAGGTCCCTTCCAACTCCTAATATTCTGTGATTCTGTGACAGAATGTACTGGGTTGGAAGGGACCTTTAAAGATCATCTAGTCTAGTAATAATGGCATAGTACTATACACTGAATATGTCATACTTCTTTTTTTAAAGGCAAGCACTGAAAGATTCAGACTTTCAGTTCAGCTGAACAGAACTGAAGCCCCAGTTGAATGGTTCAGCTCAACACAGAGAACCAGAGCATCATCAGGAGTGCCCCTCTGTTAGTAATCTCTTCACATCTTTCTTCAAGCTATTTTTGTTCCTTTCCAGGTAAGTGTAAACTTTGCCTCCTTCATGTTCTAGCACTGCCCAGGCTTCTCCACAACCAAGCTCTGCCATTGTTATTATTCAAATCCAATTTCACCAGTATGGCTTTTGTGGGGTTATGTTTATTTTAGTTTCTGCTGAAGGGAAGTGATATTCATTTTTGTGGGAAGGAAATAATAATACAAAAAAAAGGCAACACAATCTGTTTACTGTCTTGTGAAGAATAAGCATGGGAAGAAATTTCACTTAAGAGCATGGGTTAAAAAGCTGTATTTCCATATTTCTCTTAAGAGTTGAAAATTAAAATTACATATTTTGAATTAATTTGGCTTTAATGAATCTGCTGCTCTTCATTAACTTCTTAACAATTTATTACTTCTCAACATTTATGTTGTTTATTCCTTATTGGAAACGACACTTGGACCTACAATTGAATAATGATATAATCCAACATAGGTTGTTTTACCTTCAGATAAACCATTTTTGCTTCATGAAGCAATACCAAAATGAAAAGAGTTTTATTGTAAATCTCAAGTAAAGGAGCTCGCAGCCTGCTAATTCAGTGAATTTCTTTAGTGGTCCACTAAAAGACTCATTCTAGTGGAGGAACTTGGCATATGGGATACTTCAGAGGTAGTGAAAAAGAAGCATTATAACACCTACACGTATTTCATGTTGTAAACCCTCCTTCTGTTGCTGCCGTTTAAAAGGAAGGAAACAAAACTGCATTGCTTCAGACACGGATCGCTGACAACAGGAACAGAACGCTTTGCATTCAGGGTCTGCGGCTCTTGTCAAATAGGGGTCTCAAAACAATTCTTAAGGCATCCATGATGAAAATCCAAGCTCAGTGCAGGCTTGGGCACTTCTGTAGTTTCTGCAGAACTTCTGCTGTGGAATATATTTATATCTGCGCTAAACTAAATTAATTTATTTCATCTTTTGAAAGGTCAAAATAAGAAAGTGAGTCTGCAAAGTTCTCAGCTGTATTCATTTCCTCCTGCCCCGTGGTTATATGGCCGGTATCTTGGATTAGTTCTATTTACATATTACATACATCACTGTCACAATTAATCTACAGGAAGCTGGTTTCTCAGTTGAACCACTCCATGTTTACAACTAGCCCTCCGCAAGTAGTGACATCAGAGCTCATGAGACAATTGCGTTTTAATGACCAGCTTCCGGAAGTGCTCACCTAGGACACTCACACACGTTTTAAAATGTGGGGTTTTTTAGTGCAGTATTCACAGGAAATGTTGAAGGCAGAAATGTACTTTAAATCCTGCCCAAAATATCCTACTGGAGTTACGCACTGCTGGATTTATTTCCATCTTACAGAAGCCCCAGAGGAATTCCTCGCATGACAACTTACTTTTTTTCCAAGAGAAAGATTTTATCAATCCATGCTAGCAGTGCAAGCCACAGCAAGCACTGGGCTGAGCGTTTTCTGGTCCTTCTGTGAAATGTGTGAGTAAGCAGCATGGAGAGACCATCACTTAGTCATGCAAGTGGGCTGTGACTCCTGGTCCACTGAATATGAGCCATAAGATCAAATTCCCTACAGAAGACAAGGGAATAAAATGTGTTTTAAATCAGAACTGAGTCCACCATCACTGAACGACCGTGTGGTTTAAGCAGAGCCCTTGTGTTGGATGTCAGGCATGTCTTCCTTCTGTCTTTCCACTCAGATGATCTGGGAATGTCTCAGGGATGCTGCAGCACCGGGTGAACTACTAGGGCAGACACTGTCAATTCTTCATAATGCAGAAC